TAAAAACATAGTGTGACTAAAAATACCTTCACCGGGTGACAAGCACATCGGCTATCTCAAAGAAAGCGGGCTATGTCAAGCAAATGCCCAATTTTTAATTTCAAGAAGACTCAGAGGGGGTGCGTGAGAAAACAGTTTATATGTACAGTTCAACAATATCAAAAAGGTAAAAATCGAACAGGTAGCACATTCCACAAATAAATCACAATATATGCAAAACTAATAAAGCCAAAAAAGTGAACATGTACAAGCTCGAATTCTAGTTTTTTCCCAGCGGAGTCGCCCGAGCTGTCACACCCCTTTTTCCGACCCCCCAAAAAGATATAAAATGTTATGGGTTTGTGGGTTAAAGAGTTTTTCCAATTAAAGTGACAAATTTGAGTAGGGATTATTTTATTTACAGAGTCGCCACTTGGAATTGATTTTTCGGTGTTCCAAGTCACCTTTTATCCGAATCCCTAGTCAAAGAAAGAATTGACTCTTTTATTATTAGTCTGTGAAAATAAAGTCCGGGTAAGAAATTCTGTTGACCGGGGAGAAAGTGTAAGGCATTCCCCGAGTCCCGTGGTTCTAGCACGGTCGCTTTATTGACTTAAAGTTTGGCTTAAATTAATTTTGGAAAAACTGTGATTTGCATGATTTCATGTTTTACCTATCCGCTTTTATTTTCTTAATTATTAGAAAAATTAAAGAAAATAATAAGATGTCATAACCACACTATGGAAGCGAATGCGTGACCGAGACGAAATTTATCGATTTAGTCATAACAGCGCNGGCTCTCACATTAAATATTAACTTTAGGACACATATGCTTGAGTTGCCCCTGATGTTAACTTTTGAATTAATTAAAACTAATAACGATCACCTCTTTCAAAGAGCACATGTAGCATAGAGAGATGATGAACTGCAGAAATTAAATCATATATGAGATTGTATGACCACATCTTAAGTGAAGCTCCACATATGCACCAAAATTGCAAAGTTGTCTATGATATTTAACTAAAAAAACCTGTTTGCCCAACTTTTAAAATTTGGTTATTCTTAAGAGTACCTTTTTTTAAAATGGAGTTGATATTCTTGCGCTAAAGATCCTCAAATCTTTTAATTTCCTCCGCCACTTTCAATTTACATTACATTCCTTAATCCTTATGCTTGTAGTGAATCAAACTTTAAGCTTTTCAAACCTCAATCTTGCCAACATTAGTAATTTTTTTTTAATACCACTACTACTTTATACATGGCTCCAATTGATTTTCTAACTTCAAATCCTTAAACCTCAAAAGAAAGATCTTTAAGCTATGTACTGATTCTAAAATACAATAACAGAAACTTCATCATATGAAGTTTAGCACAAAACAAAAGGATTTGACAATATTAGCAATTCAATTTTCAACATTAGAACATTTAAACATTCTTACCTCACTAATTCTATAGTTATGCACTATGATATAAGTAGCCCAAACTAACACCAAAACATGGTTATACAAATCTGCCAACTACAAAATAAACTAACTATAAACAATAAAATGATCATAATATGGAACTTTCAGCACTCAAATATTCAGCAGATTCCTTGGAGACAATTGCTCGAAATAAACTAAACCAGGCCAATCTTTCATCATCTTCTACTATAGTAAAGAACCTGCATTACAAGTGTTTGGAAAGTTACCTGAAACCCGAAAATACAGCAATAAAGGTAGCAAAAAATCAGCAGCAGGGACAGTACAAACAACAGCATCAACTCAGTGTTAAGATAACCCAGAATACTCAACAAGGATTCTTGAAACTAGTAGCTAACAACTTCACGAATTGACCGAGAGATCCTTCTATTTTTCTCAAGGTTTTTGCACTCTCAGAAACACTAACTAAGATCAGAATTTTTAGCTTACTAAAGGGTGCTTCAGCTGCTGATTTTTACTCTCAAAGTTGTGTTTTTAGGGTGTAAAAACTATCCAACAAATGTGTGATGTAGTCCCCCCTTAAATGAGGAAAGGGCAGCCCTTAAATAGGCAAAGAAAAGCCAACTTTTTGGACAGATTTTGGTTCACCAAAAATCTGTCCAAAAAGGGACTGACTTTGTGTGCTAAACACTGTTCAAAAGTTGTTCAAAAGGTGAAAGGACAGCCTGAAATCTGCTATGGCAGAAGCAAAGAGTCATTTCAGCCACCCTAGTACTAAAAATAAGTTGCTAGTGTACCCCTAACACATGATTACTCATCTACTCTACAGCTTTTAACAACAACAATACCAACCATGTGATTCAAATCAAATGAAAAGCAAGTAACCAGAACATAGTTGATCTACCACAAACATGTAACTGAAACTTAACACTGAACCATTAATCAACCAAGAGAACTTAAAACCTAATGACTAAAATCAAACCAAGCAAAACACATGTTAACAGAGAAAACAAACTTAGTGAAAAAGTTTCACTATTTTCACTAAGCGAAGACGAAACTGAAAACTAGATAGAAAACGAACTAAAATCGACCACTAACAGAACTTACACTACTACAATAACTACAATAAAGTAGTAGGCAACAGAAATCAGAAACCTAAAAAAAGGATTAAGGTTCTAGTTAGAGTCCAAAAACTTTGAACCGTCAGTTAATTAGCACGATGAATTAAACGTGAAATAACAGAAACTGCAATTGAAGCTAAAATTTACAAACTTGAATCTACAACTAACTTCAAACACCATTAGCAGAACTTATGAGATAGGAATCCGGACAACAAAATAATTTGAGATCAACAAGCGACGACTAATCATTACTGACTCTAAACTAACTAACGGCTAACTAAAGATAAATAAAACACATGATCAAACAAAGAAGAAAAATCAGAAATTTTAGACCTAAGCAAACTACAATGAAACAGAAAGTAAAAGAAAAATAAAGGGGACACAAGGGATTAGGGTGTACCAGAAAATCGAGTGGTGCGGCAGTGGTGGTGATTCGGGCAGTGTTGGAACGCCAACTCGACAACAATGTGAACTTCGAGCACGATTTTCTAATTGGTGAATTGTGACCGTAATTTCCAGCGAGCCAGAGGTCAGTCACGATATCAACAATGAGAAACTCGTGCTTCAAGTCACGAGATAGGACGAGGCAGAGGTGTGGTGGCAGTAGGGTGTTCCGGTCGGCGGCGATGGGGTTTTTGGGGACATGGGTTGGAGATACGGAGGGAGGAGGAGAAGAGGAGGAAATGGTGCGATTTTGGCGGGGATTGGAGATGGTGAACGGCGGCGGGTGGCGGCTAGGGTTACGCTTAGGTTTAGATTTGGTGAGATTGAGATGTTTTTGGGGATTTTTAGTGGTATAGGTAGAAAGAGGAGGAAGAGGGGAGGAGATGGTGAAATTTTGGGGTGGATTGGAGGTGGTCCGCCGGCGGCGGCGATTTTTGGCCGGCGGAGCCACCGTGGAGAAGGTGGCGGCGGGCAGAGAGGTTTATAGAGAGAGGAGAGAGTGAAGAGAGGTCTCTAGGGTTTGAGTAAATGGCCAAAAATCTGATTTTTTGGCTCTTTTATTTGGAAAGGGAGATGAAATGTGGTCCGTTGGATTGAAGGGATTGAAGGGATGAGATTTATTCTCAACTTCGTTAAGTGAAACGACGTAGTTTCAATATGAAACTACGTCGTTTTGATCTAGACCTTGGCAAAACAACATTTGGACTGGATTGGCTGATTTGGGCCGCCAATTTGCCTCAAATTTGGCCCAATTTGGATAAAACATTAAGAAACCCAATCCCTTGAACCTCACAACAATTAATTAAGCTAAAGTCTTAATTCAAAAACTACAAATACACAAATAATAATCCTACAAAAAATTAAAAAATTAAAATGTATTGTAGAAGAAAAAAAGAAAAAGCAAAAATTAGGCATTTACACCTGGAGTTATACGTCTCCACTTTTTTGTCGTTGGCCTCAATCTTCTTCTCACCCGATTCCACTCGCTTTGTCAAAGCCTCAAGCATTTTCATTATCTTGGGGTTGGCCCCGCGCTCCACTCCACCCGACTTCTCGATGGTTTGCTCGTTTCCTCGGGTATTCTCCTAGGACCATTCAGGCCCGATCCTACCAGGAGGGTGGCCTTGATTCTGTAGTTGTGATATTGTCTCTTGTTGAGCCTGCAACATTTTGAAGATTAGGCGAAGGCTTATCCCATCACCTTCGCCTTCGGGCATTTCTCAAACTGTTGCTCGTGGGCCTCCGCGAATGTTGTTTTCAGGGTCAGTTGGCAGGTGGGCGTCAATAGCAATCTGTGAATTGACGTCGATTGGATCACAACCGAGATTTCGTTGGGATCAGGATGGGGCACATCATTGCTAGGTACCACGTTATTGTTTTCGCCATGATGGCCAGACTCATCCTCAATATTCAAGTGAGCAGACTAAGAATTGGACTTTTTTAAGGTGACCGAAAATAAAAACCTTAAAGAACAAGCGTAAAATAGAGTGTGTTATGAAAATTTGTATCAAATCACCACCATTATCCTTAGCCCCACGGTGGGCGCCAAACTATTTATCCTTAAAATGGATAACAATTGAATTTGTACGCGATTTTAAGGAATTGTGGATTTATTCAACATAAGTGAACAAGAATGTTAGATAAGCGAAATAAAGATAATATAAATAATATAAACAACCAAACCAATTGTGACGTTGAGTCCGGTCTCGAATTTAGGCTTAACAGTAGTTTCGCCCTTGACTAGACCCTCGATTTGCAGCCAAATGTATATGAAGAACTATGATTAAAATAAGAAGTTTTCAATAACTAAGAAGTAGAGAAACAAGTTTGTATTGCCTAGATATGTGTTTTACAATGTGTTCATTGAATAGAAAAGCTTTCCCTTTATATAGCAGAGGAGTTATTACCCTTGGTACAATTCTTAAAAAAGTAAAAATCTTTCTTGTACGTCAATTACTGATATAGTGCCGACATCGGGCGAGATCCGCGCCGTGATATCTAGTTGGGTATGGATATCACGGCTCTCCATTAGTCGTGTGCAACTTTTCGAGGTCTTGGAGCTCGTTCCGGGTTCGATAGGTGTTGCCCTGCCAGGTCCGGTGGCGAGCACCCTGTTCCGATCTCGACCTAAGGAGTTCTCAGATTCGGTCCTATCTCGTACATTCATGCTCCTCTCTTCGTTTGACTCACCATGAACTTGGGGCGTATGCCAACCCCGAGTTTACCCGTATACACCATCAATGTTGGAGTGAATGCCAGATCAATAGCATTTGCCATCTGAATATGCCCACTGAGTACTGAAAGATACTATAATGCTAATACATAATTTACCTAATTAAAGTAAAAAATTACAAAAATTAAGTTACAATCTTTACTTTGATAACATTGTACTTTACAAATCGTGATAATTTTGTAGTAATAGTTCTAGTAAGTCTTTAACGTATTGAAACGTAGATCATAGGAATAGAACGAACGCTTTAAGCCCAAAAAATCTCATTGAGAACGCAATAGAACAAATAGACGTATAAAGAATGCAATAGAACAAAAGCTTCTAGCTTAGTTGCAAATATAAGCAAAAGCTCAATCTCCTTTGGTCAGAATACACAACTGAAAATAGTGGATATGTTGGGGGTTTGCTAAGGGAGAACTCCCTATTAAGTACTTGGGAGTGCCATTGAGTAGCAAAAGATCATATCTATTGTCCTGTGCCAGCCTCTACTAGAGCAAATGCTTGGAAGGATCAACTTATACTTGTCCTATGCAGGAAGATTAGAATTGATAAAATAGTTTACTTACCAAAAAAAAAAAGGGTGTCAGTGAAATATTATTTTCTGCTGTTTAATTTTTAGTTTTACAAGACTATTTCTCTTAGCATCAAAAAAATAGCACATTTTTTTTTTGGGGGGGGGGGGGGGGTTTTAATTTGTCTTTTGTATATTACTCTCCTTATTGTAATCTGCAATCATGGTTAAAAATTTAATATAAGCAGTACTCATTCTTCTAGTAGAAAAACCATAATTATATTACAACAACCTCTCTTCACAACAAGAACTTAATACTTAAGATCAGAAGTAACATTGTCAAGATAATAACTCCCAAACATTAATACCCATACTTTTACTATTGAAAAACAACATTAAGAGTAACACTCTTCAACAACAAGAAAACATGCACATCTTAGTTATATATCTTAAACATAAATGCTAACAACAAAATACTACACCCCCACCGTCCCAAACGAGTTGAGGTCGGCTATATAAATTCTCGCTAACCATATTACTCCATATAAACTCGTCTCGTAAAAATATTTTTCTTAGCACTTAGGGAAAGGGGAACCACAAGTAGAAGCAACTTTCTTGGCATTAGGAGAAGAAATCATCTTTTGAAGTCTTGGATCTTTCATGTATTTGCAAAGGCATGGCCTTTGTTCCTTTAACTTTGAGCAACACATTGCACTTGGAGTTGTAGAAGACATTATGGCATTTGCACAAACACTTAACATCAATGGATTGCAAGTGATATCTGCTTTTGTCACCTTAGTTTCTTGACTAAGAACCAAAAGTACCATTAATGCAAAGATTGCCACACACCTCACTGCCATTTTTGTGATCTAGTGTGTGTCTATGTGTGCAAGAGAGAGAATCTTTTGTAAGTGAGAGTAGTATATTGTGTGTGTATGTTGTGATGGATGCATTGGAATTATGGCTCAATTTATAGAGGAGGATGGTCAGAGGCGGATCAAAAAATTAAATTTGATGGGGTCAATGTTTAGAGTTCTAGATTAAACTCGTCGTACTTTTGAAATTATGGATGCATAACATAATATTTGACAAAATTTTATGATTTTTTGAGTATATATCCATATTCCCGTTTAAAAAATAATTCAGTTGAACTTGTTGTACAAAAGCTAAATTAGTAAAGTAAAAACTAAAAAAGAATCAAGAAGCTTTTCTTTTTCTCCCCTCTACTTTTCTTCCCCCTTTATCATGTGTATGGTTAAAGTAGAAAAGAATTTTTCTAAAAACAAATAGAAAGAGATCTAAAAGTATTTTCACAAATCATTTGATTTGGAAGATTATAGTCTTTCCACTTTTGTACTAGACAAAGCAAAAAACTTAAACTAAAGTCTTTTTATCTGCTTTTATACAGAGAAAAAACTAAGTCTTCTTATCTTTTACTGATCAACAAAGGTGTCATGCAAACAAAAAGTATATAAAAATAATTAAAATATGGAGAAAAAGAAAACGGGAACTGATCTAGCCAACCAGTATTAATTATGAGAATCTATTCGGAAATGTTCTTAAATATTTTTTGTTTTTGTGGCTTTTGTTGGTCAAATCTTCCGAGCATTTAAATTACAACTCAGTGCATATCTGAAGATGTGTATTTGTGAGTAGAAAGTGGGGACTATAGATTGAGTCAAGTACAAGTAGTTTTTTTTTTTTCACTCGAAGTCTGGTATTTGTGTTAGGATACGGCTAAAATTAGATTTTGCGTCGAAATATTTCACATTCCGGGGTAAAGCGCACACTAACAAAGATGATTTCATACCCAGAGTTCGATCTGAGATATCTGATTAAGAATGATTTAGTACTTACCTTTCCACCATAATCAAGTACGAGTAATTGATATTCAGGAAATGGAGAACTTTAAAGATTATGCATTATTAGTAATTATAACGGCATGCCTACATATAGTTGAAGCTATCATAACAACATATTTTGAGCGTGAGCAAATATTATGGATCCATAAAAATCTCCTTCAACAAAGCTTTTGTTTTATAACCTTTATTTATTTATTTATGTGGTCCTATTCTTTGGCTGGGGGGTTGGTGCGTGGATTTAAAACCATGCGAGTCATTCTTTGATAAAAATTTATTTACACCTGATGTTTATATTTTAATCTTCATCCATATAGAAGCGGATCTAACTAGTAACTTAAAAATTCATCGGAATTGTAGTAGTATTTAGTTTAAACTCCATATATGACGGACCTATAACGGACAAAAGCTCGTTCCGACTAATTTCACAAATTTTGGAGAGAGCAAACCTTTCATTTGGTAGGTGCCAAGGTCAATAGCGGAGTTAGAATTTTCGTTAAGGGGATCAAAATAAAAGACGTAAATTCACCAAGAAGTCAAGTATATAGTATATATATATATATATATATATATATATATATATATATATATATATATATATAAAAGCCAGAAGCTACTAGGTTTTGCCGTAACTTATATGTTAGCTTATATGTTACCTCCGCCCTCTTTGTGTCATAGTCCAATAGTTTGTTTGGCAAGCATATCCACGGCCAAAAACACTTTTTTTCCGAAAAAGTATTTTTTTTAAAATTAAAATATTTGGCCAAACTTTCAAAAGGAAAAAAAGTGCTTTGAGTAGAAGCAGAAATACCTTTGGACACTTAAAAGCAATTTTTAGAGCTTGATCAAATACCAATTGCTGCTTAGAAGTACTTTTTCAATTAAGTAGTCAAACATAAACTGCTTCTCACTAAAAATACTTTTGAAAAAAGCATTTTAAAAAA